GGATGGATGGATGGATGGATGGATGGATGGATGGATGGATGGATGGATGGATGGATGGATGGATGGAGGTGCAGCCACCTCCTCCCTGCCCATGTGGTGCTCAGCACACAGCTGCTGAACTAACGGGATCAAGATTTCTAAACTAAAACCTTTCATCTTTTTGCAGCTTTCAAATCCCACACTGAGCCGTGGGGTTTTAGGGTTGTTTTTTTCTCCTATTCTGAAAGAAAAAGGAAAAGCCAAACCACCCCCAGGCTCTGCCATGGAGCCCCGGTGAGGCTGGAAATGCAACTGGTCATTAGAGAGGATTTGCAATTCCATACACTGGGACTGCTGGAGGGCAGGGATTTGGGAATGAACACAGCCTGATGAGTTTTCAGCTCACAAAGAGGATGGATCAGTGCTCAGCAGACAAGGACACAACAGCACATGTCAGGAAGGCACTGGGAAGCACGGATTGGGTTTGGATTTTCCAGCATGCTGATTGTAGGGGGCCCTAAACCCATCCAGCTGGAGCTTGTGGGATCTGGGCAAACCCAGGGAGTGTGGTCCCCATCAGAGGGGCAGAAGAGACCCTGCACCCCTGGGATCTGGTCCCGTACCCCTGCTGCAGTCCCGTGGCACCTGCAGCACTGTGCCCCCAACATTTCGGCCCAGGCCGCTTATTTCTGCTCTCAAAAGGGACATCCAAGTCATCTGTGAACAGGCACATCATTATAGAGCTCTGGGGATGGCAGCCAAGCTGAGCTTGGCACACGGGCCCTCTGCCCGTGCCAGGTGGCTCAGGGTTCATCAGCAGCCACAGAGCCAAGGGCTGGCATGGGATGAGGGGAACGATTCTGCAGCGCTGGCATTTTTGGGTGGAGGGCTGCCCTGGCCAGTGAGGAGCCTCTCAGGAACTGGGGGCTTTGCCTTCCCTGGGTGAAAGGGGAAGCAAACCCAAGAGGTGAATACACCATCTGCCAAAGCCATGATGGAACCAGGACATTAATTCACTGTGGGCTGTGAAATGTTAACACCAACACAGGCTCTGGTTTGCAGAGTGCCTCAGAGGCTGCTGCCCCTCTGACACACCTGCAGGGAGCTCAGCCACCACAGTGGTCCCCTGGGCAGTCCTTACCGATGGCCTCCAGGATCAGCGTGTAGGATGCCACGGTCTCCCTGTCCAGGCTCACCACTGTCCTCACCACACCGTCCCTGAAGCCAACRCTGAATTTGCCGTCCTGGTTCCCACCTGCAGCAAAGGACAAGGAGAACAGAAACCTGGAGTTGATTGGGTTGGGAGGGACCTTAGAGCTTGTCTTGTTCCAACCCCTGGCCATGGGCAGGGACCSCTTCCCCTAGACCAGGCTGCTCCAAGCCCTGTCTAACCTGACCTTTAACACTTGCAGGGATGAATCACCCACAACTTCCCTGGGCAGCCTGTTCCAATGCCTGGCCACCCTTCCAGCGAAGAAATTTTTCCCAATACCTAATCTGACCTTCCCTGGTGCAACTTGAGGCCATTTCCTTGGATCCTGCAGCCYGGGCCTCGGGCCAGCCCAGCTGTGCAAGGATGGTGCTGGATTTTTTTCCCAGGCAGAGCACCTTCCCCTGCCTCACAGCACATGAAAAATCCCATGGCCATAGGAAAAGCTGAATCACGTGAGAGCCACATAATTTCCTGAATGCTCTGGGGTAACTCTGCACGTGAGCTGTGTTACCTGTGGGACAGCACACCCCGTGTCACCTGCGGGGAGGCCGTGACATGAAACGCCAGGCTGCTGYTGTGGGAAAAATGACTCTGTGGTGACACTTCTGTTTTTGCCCTCTTCCTGCAGGCTCAGTCTGCAGTTTGCAAGTCAAACCACGGCCAGGGGGTTCCCCAGCTGCCTGCTGCAGGTGCAGAGTGAATGGGGCAGTATCGCTGCCCACCCAACCCCACCGACACACGGGGCCACCAAAACGCCCCAAAATTCCATCTACGCCTTCCAGCCATAAACACTCGTGAGGTGTTGTGCCCATCCTCACGCTTTTCWAGGGATGCCGGGGGTCAGCAGAGCKGKSAGCMRAGCGGGGCTGTTCAGCAGAGGGCGATGCGGGACAAGCTTTGGAGGGGTCGGGAAAGGCAAAAAGGCGGCGCTGAAATGCAGAACGCCCTGGCCGGGGTCCGGGACAGCCCTGCAGCCACAGCTCCTGCCCAGCCTGGGGCTCGCACCTGTGATGAAGTAGCTGAGCTCGGCGTTCAGCCCGATGTCGTTGTCCGTGCAGTTGAGCCGCACCACCTTGAAATCGCGGGGCACGTCCTCGGGCAGGGACACGTTGTAGACGGCAGGGAAAAATGTGGGGCTCTCGTCGTTCACGTCCAGAACTGAAAAAAGGGGAGCACAGCTGAGTGTCCTGCCAGGGCTGCCCCTCCTGCAGGAGCCAGGCTGATGCCTGCTGGTCTCCCAAACTTCCTCCTGCCACCCTGAGCATCCCAGGGTGGATTCTCCCTGCTGTTGGTGCAGGGTGGCTGTAGGCTTTGTCTGGTTGCCTCTGATACCCAGAGATCACCCTCCTCACGGCCAAAAAAAAACGTTTCAGCACTGTAATTCGAGTGCTGCTTCCATCCTTATTCAAAGGAAAATCTGGGGCTTAAATATAAGCTCAGTGTGTCCTGGGGCACAGCAGAGAGCTCTGGAGGTACAGGACCAGGAAGCTCYTTTCCAAACTCAGGCCTGAGGACAATCCAGGGTCGGTTTATCTCCAGATGATGCTTCTCCTTTCCCAGCACCAGACTTGCAGAAAGCCAGTAAATAGCCAGTAAATAAAATTAAAGACAGGCCATGCAACAAGGCTCCAGCTCTGAACTGGGGCTGCGTGGGCTGTCCAGGCACGCAGCTGATGGGAATCACATGCTGAAGCAAA